GGGATGCCCTTGCTTACATTCCCAGTTCCAGGTACAAGAAGAACAGATAAAACTTTAGGACTAACTGCCATTTGCGTAAGCTGTAGTCATACTGAGTTACAGCAAGCAGCCTTTTTAAGAGTGTTAAAATGTTGATTAGTCTTCAATAAAGTAGCAGGCTACAATATTGAAACTAACCTCAAATTAAAATGTGATCTTCTTTTTTTTTTTCCTTTGTTACTGACTTACATGAATATTATTTTTAGGAAGACTAAACTTCTTTAAGACTGGTTGTTATTTTTGAGTACCTAATGGATTTGTTATGTTCTGAGAGAGTTCATAAATCTACAGATAGAAGGCAGCCCTCTTATTTTCTGCCCCTCAAAACCTCTGCGGTGTAGACAGCTCGGCATGTTGCTTATGTTCTGCTTACACTTGTATCCTGCTGGTCTGATTACCGACTTCTAGTGGTCTGCCCCTTCTTTTTGTCTCTTGAAGATGATAATGTGCTTTATTTTTTGGGGGAGTTCATATCACATGATTCATAAAAGTCATTGAGATGTATGTCAAAATGCTAGAAATGCAGAAGCTAACAGAATCAACACTGTAGGAAGTACATTAATTTTTAGAAGATAATAATACAGAAAAAGTTGGATCACATGAAGAAGGCTTCTGTTATTTTAAAGGTGAAGATCCAGAAAAACTAAGAATTATTTTGTGACACTTAATGGTAAAAAATATTTAAATCAATTTAGGTACTGAATTTTCCTTGTCCTTTCAAATTTTTTTGATGAATTGAGAAAAATTGAAATGTCTTTATTTTTGATGGTGATATGTAATAGCTTTCAAAATATGGTGAACAGTGTATCATATGAAAGCTACAGCTTTATAATCTATTTGATTAATGTTTTAAATTTTCCTGACTAATGCCACTGAACAGTACCTGTAATTAAGGGGTTTACTGATTTTTACTAATAGTAGTTTTCTCATTTATTCTTAACTTTTTTTCCCCCCCAGAAAAGAGCAAAAGGCCAAGTGCTGTTTGACAAAGTGTGTGAACATCTCAATTTACTGGAAAAGGACTATTTCGGGCTGTTATTTTATGAGAATTCAGAACAGAAGGTAAGCTAACTAGCTGACTAAGGGTTTTGTTTGTTTGTCTTTCTACATTGCTACTCGCTTCCATAGTTTACTGAGGTATATTGTATTAAATGTCTACCATTACATTCAAGTAACCTGTTGCGAAATGTCCATTCTAGTCTGCTGTAAACCTGCAAATTGTGCTAGATACTAATGTGTATGTTGATACCTAACAAAGTGCCAATTTATTATTTAGAGGGGGGGAATATTTAAAATATCTGCGTTTTTGAGAAAAATAATTGAGTAATGGCTTGGCTTTATAGTAAAACAGTACAACAGCATAGTAAAACAGTGTGCCATCCCTGCAAGTGAAGATAGGAAATTTTAACTGATATCTGCCTTAACTGTCTGACAGCTCCCCAAATTTCTGAAAACTTTAGCTATTTGCATTTTTTTTTTAAAAAAAAGGCAAACAAAACTTTGGATGACAAATAATATAAAAAAAATTAATCTTCTACCTGACTTTCTAATAATTTTGCTACCTTTTCTCATATATGTTTAATAATGCTTTGAACAGGAACACGAGGGTAATCTTGCCCTGTAAGTATTAGGTCTTTGAGTTCCTTTTTTTATTAATTTTAAGCTTAAGGAAAATTTTGGGCTTTGTAAAGATGATCCTGGAGTTAGCCCATCACCAGTATTGGATGCTAATTTTACACACGAATGGCGTTTTGATATGACCGCGTTCAAAAGGATCTCTTAAATACGATTTGTTAACTTATTTTCAGTCGTCTTTTGCACTTGCTTCTATGTTGGATGGTCAAGCACATCTAGAGTGCTGAGATGAGAAAAATCTTAAGTCAGTGAGAAAAGTCTTAGATCAGTTGGTGACATGCATTCCACTTATTACCAAAAGCCAATTTAGTTTTTCCCAGTATCTGAACATTTACGGTTAGTTATGGGCCGGCTGTTGCTTTGTCCATGAACTAAAGATATACCTGTGGTCAGCTTTTCCCTCATAAAGAAAACAGACTAATAATTAAAATTGAAGTAGGAAAAATTGTATTTCTTTTTAATATCTGTATGTTTGTAGCAGGAAACATCATTGCATTAGTACTATACTTAGTCTAGAAGATTTTGCTTTTTTTCTTTTTCATCTCATTATTGTTTTTGAAATGAAATCTAATTTAGTGATCTGAATAAATCTGAATTTCTAACAATTTCCATTCAAATACAGTTGTTTTCTAGGGTTATTTGCTTCGCTGCAAGGCTTTCTGTGCAGCATTGAGCAAAATACTCAATCCCTCTGTATTAAAGATCCCCATATATAAAATGGGCTTGATGTATTTTTACTTGGATATGTTTTGTTCTTGATTTGGAAATCTTATATAGAAATGAGAACTTATTTGATGTAACAATGAAGAGCAGCTCAGTTGATCCTCTGAGTAGTATCATAATCTTAATTATTATTTGTTATTATTGTTATTGTTATTTATTTTTGCTACTCACTGTTGAAAATCTATACTGTACACACACAGCAAAATAACATCAAACAACCGTCTGATCTCTGGCAGGAGAGGAAAACAGTAGCAGACCTGGGATCCTTGAACTATACCTGGAAATAGCCCACTTGAGTAGATCCTAGGAGGTGGAATAGGGAGCCTTTCGCTTTTGAAAGTAGAGCAGGAAAGTCTGGATTGGTGTAATGTCCTTTTTTTTCTTTTTTTTTTTTTTTCCTTTTTAAGAAAGTTTAAGAAACTCTTCTAGTTGAACTAAAAGATTTTTTGGTATTCCTCAGTCATGTGAATGGAGGAACAGAGTACCACACCTTAAAAAGAGCCCATCTGTTTTTTCCTATGTCTTTATCCTTGAAGACAGTAAAAACTTGACTGAGTATGAGCCCAGCCAACCTGAACTCATTCAAAGCTGGGTCTAGTTTGAATCACAGTTGGACCAGTTATTTACAGAGGTCCCTTTCAGCCTGAATGAGTCCTTGAGCTTCCTATCCATTGACTATGGAGGTGCTACTGAAGCAACACTCATAGATGTGGTATTTACATAAATTAAGTGAGAAATATCTGGATAATGGGGTACCTGTTGTTCAATTATTTATATGCTCAGTCTAAGTCTAGCACTCTGTTCAAAAGAAAAGCAGAGCATTTATCACCTGAATTATGGACAGAAGGCTTTTATTTAAAAACTTCTGGAGAAATCTGGTCTAATTTGTTACAAAGACTAAAAAAATGCACAGTTGTTGGATTTTGTCTTCTTAATACAAGTTCTTAGTGTTATTTGGAGAAACTTAAAAAGGAGTCTTCTCTAGCAGATATGCATTTCCCACCTCCTACTTTCTAGTGCAGGATTAAGCTTAATTTGTGGTGAACTGCAGGAACTACAAGATTTTGAATGCCAGTCAGTAACAGTGAAGGAGGGGTTTATTTTACATATTTCCTGGCTGTAGATTGTACCCAAAGTGCCATTATGTGGATGGTACTGTGCCTCTGGTGTAGTTGTGATTACCAGGTGAGTGGGAATACCCAGGTTTCCAAAGAAGAATTTGAAAACATGGGCTTTAGCCATAGCTAGTCATTGGCTAAGTGCTTACATTCTTTTATGGGTTGGACAGTCTGTACTGTAACATACACATTTATATAGACTGGCTTATTTTTACTGCTATTGTCACTCAAGTTACATAATTGAAAGCTTCTGCTTTTGTACAACACCCTGTTTGGAAGTTCTTACACCGGTTATGATAAAAACATATCCTAATAATGTGAATGGTAGCTACTGCGGTGTCTTAATATGGCAAAATTACTGGTTGTGTGCTGAGAAAGTTCCTGCTCCCCAACTGCCGTTTCTCTTATGCTGGTAAGTTTGAAATTGTAAAGCTACACAGAATGTGCTCAATAAGGTTGTAGCACTCATTTTTGTTATTAAAGGGATTTTTTTAATGCATGGATGAAGACCATTTAAATGGGTTTTGGTATGATAAATAATTGTGGTATATTTTTAATGAATGCTTCTTTCTTAGGACTTTTAAGTTTCTTAACTTCTTTAATTCTTTTAATAAAAGAAAAAAAAAACATTTTATGCTTTGATTTAATTAATAGATGGATGTGTATGGGGATAATCAGTTGTGTTCAGTAATAGCTGCCAAAGAAAGCTTGGGGACTTGGACCTTTTACTGGTTTTAGGGCCTTCTCTTTTGTTCACCTCTGTAGTAAGTTTGAATTCTTTTTTCATCTCAGTACCAGTTCTTTCTGATGCATTTTTTCTCCTGTTATGACTGTTGCCTCTTCAGATTAAAATGCCACAAATCTCTGACCTCCAGGCCAGTCAGTACTAAATGCTGAATGATGTGTTTTTCTCATTCTTGTGCGCTCATCACAGCCACCCATTTATGACCCAGCTGTTGAACTTGGCGGCAGCTGTGGGGTGTGGAAACTGAATGCCAGGCACTCTTTTGAATTAGAGCTGCTCCCTAATGCACCATCGGGGTACCATTGGAGGAGGAGTCCCATTAACTTTTCTCTGTGGGTGTTCTGTGCAGCTGGGAGAGTTTTTATGCCTTCAAATCAGACTGATTTTTGTTAAATTTAATACATATTTTAAAGCTATTTAGGTCAAATTACTCATTAATGATTTCTTTCATTGTTTTGCAAATGTTAAAGTTGTTGGTCTAAATTTTAGTTAGCATTTTCACTGCATTACACCCTCAAAAGTTCATGAATGCTCCATTCACACTGTAATTGGTCTGCAGAAGTGTTAGAAAGCTTCTGCTCTTATGTTCTGGGCACCAGATGGAAATGCTGCTTTTCTGGATTTGTACAAAATACTTTTGTACTGGTAGAGAACGTGTTGTTGTTCTTTGACAATTCGTTACTTTGTCTCATCTATAACCTTACCATTCACAAATGAAACAAATAGATTTCTGCCTACTGGAGCAAAGTAGTGTGTATATACTGTCTTTTGTTTTGAAAGACAGACCTGTCTATTCTGCAGTAAGAGGTCTATTTCAGGGTAGATTCTTTCAATAGTGTTTGTTTTATCCCTAAAAAAAAAAGGCACAGATGCAAAAAAAACCCACCCTGTAATATAAATGGAATATAAGCATCTGATTTTATTTGACAGAACAGTAATGAAAGTTGGTGGCATAGTCTGCTTCCAATAAGCGTACTCCAGGTTTGGAAAATCAGAAAATGGACTGTATAACTTCTGTAAAGAAAGGATTATTCTTCTCATTTTGCAGCATATTCTGTACTGTATATTCTTTTCTCCTACTTTACAGTGATAAAAGATAAAGCACTGAGAGTAACATACACTCAGGAATCCTAGTTTTCTGCTGTAGCTATGCCATTCTATATTCTATACTTACTTACTTTATACTATACTTTATCTAAAATTTAAGAGTTTAAACTACTTCTACTTATCTTTGTAATTGGAAGAATATGGCTGTGTATCATTTCGGAATGGAATTCATGCCAAAACTGAAAATCTAGGATGATAACTGTAGCTGAAGTGAGTCTCAGCTAAAATTATTTGAAGACTTCTGTTGTCTTCCAAGGCCTCTCCATGTCAAGGCTCTTCTGATAGAGAGCAATTTTCTGACTTAAGCAGAATAAATGGTAACCAGATTTTTTGGAGGAGTGTTTTATATCTCTTCCTTTGTAACAATGTTGTAGACCATGCATCTCTGGAAGAATTATAGTAGCTATGAAATGTAGAGGTCTCAGACTTCTTAAAGCAAGGAATGTGAAATTATTCTTTGTTTTTAATTACATCTATAAAAATGATAAAAAGGGTTTTTTGCATTTAACTGTAACCAGTATTTGAATAATATGTACCTGCTGCATTTGTGATGAAATCAACTTGAACCAAGGTAATTACAAGAGGGACCTTAATATTTTGGGTCATATTCATAGAAGTCACATCCTGTATCAGCAGAGGTGCTTTACATTAAGGATTTGCATTAGTGCAAGAACATATAGTTCCACGTTCTCCTGAGCCATACGGACTCATAAAACTGTAGCCTAGCATGTTTTGAAATAAATTTGATTTTGGGTGCAAAAACCTGTAATAAAGACTGAGGGATATGGTATTGGAAAACAATTCTTGCATCTAGAGTTTGGTACCATTGACTGAAAGGTGAGTCATATTGTACCCGGTATCCACTACCTGGCTAGGTTAGGCAAGAAACGCTGGCAGAGATATGCCTTTAGCAACATTTGTGCTGGCACTGAGGTCCCCTCTGACTTTAAAGTTGCTAATATGTGCAGTGGTTTGTGGAAATGCAAGTGTTGTCCTTGACCTTACAAGTCAGTTGCTAATTCTTCCTTACTTTGCACATCTCTGCCTTTGAAACGTGCTGAGTCCTGCTGGCCTGGCAGGCTGGTTGTGTGCATGCGTGTTTCTTCCATGTTTGTGCTTGCGCATGTGTGTCTGGCTGTGGGAAATAAAGGTTCAAACACTGTATAAAGTAAATTCTCAGTAACTGCAGTTAAAAAGCATATGTTTCTGGTCTATCACTCAATCTGTTTTCTAACATCTACGGGTAAAATTAGTAAAGAGGATTGTCTGAGTTACTGATGAATATATGTTACTGATTTCTTAGACTTCCCAAAGTCGTATTTTTGGATGATCAGTCACAAAAAAGTCTCTTTTTGCACATATCAGTAGAGATTGAAATACCATGAGAAATTTAATAGGTTGCACGGATTATATAAAAATGTTTTTCGTATTGAGGATAGGACACATTTAATAGCGAGGCATATGAAAAACTGACTTTATTTGCATTGCCTAAAATAGAGCTGAGTATCTAGATTTAAATCTTTCTAGTGTATCAGTGTTAACATAATACATATTCATAGAGAACTTTGATTTAGGGGAAGTCAGAAAAAAAGCATGAGATTCGATTAGGTTTTTCCAAGCATCTTTGAATGTTATCAGAACTAAAATGTATACGCCTTAAGACAAACGATGGGAATAAGAAGTCTCTGGAGTTCCAGAGAAATATCATCTTAAGAAACTCTATATGAGTGTGTAAGCACGTACATGAAGCCATTACATAGCCATTCCTGAAAAGTCTTGCTTATGTCAATAAAATGAGTATAAGAGAAAATTGCTTTTCTCAAATGTGATTTGATAGACCACCTCTGTAAGACTATCCACTTTGTAAAATTACAAGGCCTAAATAGTCTAAAGCAATAAGACAACCATGAAAGGAGTGGCATTAGACAGATTCATTTATGTTCATGGGTGGGAAGACTTGCTAGCAAATCATAAGTTCAATTTTAGAATTTCCTGGGTTGTTTTAAAATAGAACAGATGTCTGAACAATACAAACTTTAACTGCACTGTATGAAATTACTTCACCATCTTCAGTCTGAAGTGATTTTAAATGCTGTCTATGTTGTGGGTTTTTTTTTTTTCAGAACTGGCTAGATTCTTCGAAGGAAATTAAGAGACAAATTCGAAGTAAGTACTTCTATATTCAGATTTTATGTTCCTTTTATTTCCTCACAGAAATATTCTTCATAAATGTAGTCACCTGGATGTTGACTAAATTGTATCCTTACAGCATTAAAGTAATTTAATGACATATTCAGCCTTAGAACAGAAAGCAAAGCTTTCACTTCTGTCTACTGTCCAAGAAGGAGAGAAAGAATCACTCAGCATTGTGCTGTAGAAGTTAATCATTATACTGGCTGCTGTCTCAAAATCTTTCTGTATCGTATGTGACTAATAGTTGATCTTTTTGCATCCTGAAACAGTAGATGCTTTTCAACTTTGTGCTGATATTTGAGTTATGGGATGGAGAATGTCTTCTTGCAAAGATCGTCGTGGTTGTTGCTATAGGACTTTCTAACTTCAAAGGCTTGCCAGAAGAATATGAAACTATAAAAAGAGAATCAATATGTCCTACAGAAAATGTATATTCTTCAATGCTGATCAGTCCAGCGTTGGCTTTTTTGATGTGTCCATCATTTCCAATATGGAAATGGAAAAGAGAGCATAATCTTGGAAAGCATGGCTACAGTGTTTTTCAGACTGAATCCATGTACTTCCTATACTCAGTACACAACGAGTAACTCATTTTACTCTGTTTGCTAAAGCTATGTCAAAACTCTTCACTAGCCGGGTAGCTTTTGTAGTAGATAGGGGAGTGAATGGAGTCTAAATTTAGGAGATACTCTTCCTCAGTCTACATGTTGCAAAATAAGTAGCCACTGAGTGCTAGACAGCCCTTGCCCTTACTGAAATTCATCTCATTGCTTTACTCACTTGTACCCAATGCCGATTTTTGTTGTTGTTGGGTTTTTTTAATGGAAATCTTCTTTTGGTAGTGCCTGATAGGAAATGTAAGTGGGGAGATGATGGTGATAGTAAAATTTAAATGTCTACACTTCCAACACAACACGAATTTAAGTTATTTAAGAAACTGGCTTTGAACTTTTTTGGGGAATGGGATCCAGTGGGAGCACTTGTAATTCAGAACAGCAGTAATAGATGATAGACAGATGCTTTCTTTACTATTGCTAACTTCCTGTTTTAAGGCAACACTGACATTTTTCCAGAAATCATAGTGGTGCTAATTCTCTTTTATTTAGACCTTTCCCGACTGATGAAATCACTTACTAGGAAGGTGTGTTTTAAGAAATGAAGATTACAGAAGCTTCCTTGGAAACTACTTTTTTGATCTAACATGCTCTTGTATGAGCAAACTAGACTTATTAAAATTGTGAATGTACTACTATGCAAGTAGAGACCTTTTTCAATTAAGGAAAAGTTACTGGTATTGTAACTTCTTACTCTGCAGGTCTTCAGTAAAAACCTATTATTTTTCCAAATATATGGGCTAAAGGCTGTTTTGTTTGGGTTTAATATTTGACAAAAGGTTGAGGACATTGATACTTTTTATTATTGTCTTCTGTAGTGATCTGCATGCTATATAGCCTACAAGTAAGTGTCATGAATCTGAGATATAAGAACTGACCTGAAGATTTTTTTGATGCACTACACAACAGTTTTTTAATACTGTATAATACATACTACAAAAAAATATTTTAAAGGGATGTGATTTTTCATGCAGCATGAAGACCTGCATTTTATATTGGAGATTAAGTCCAGTTTCTTGAATTAGACATCTTGACTGGAATTTTTTCTCTGGTCTGTAGCACTTCAGTGTTGATAGGCACAGTGTATAAGGCACACAACCAAGCAAGGACACCATTTTAAAATTAAATTTGTTTACATCAATTTGCAAGCAATCATCACACTGTCAGTTGTGTTCCTAATAATCAGTGTATTAAAGTTTCCAGGTATTGTAATGTACTGCGAAGACAAATTTTATTGCCCAGCTACAAGAGTATCAAGTAATGAGGCTTTTCTTTGTTTCAGGCTTAGTTCTAAATACATTTGTCTTTGAATCAAGAAAGGAAATCTTATGTACAAAAATACTCAATTCTAATAAATTTAAGGTACCTGTAAAACCTACTAGTCTGTTTGAACATTTGAAATGAAGAAACTAATTTATTTTTCTCTTGTACAGTGCAAACTGAAGCACTAGCATGGTAGATAAGTGTGTCTGGACAAATACATTGATCTTCTGGGCTACAATGGTGTGTTGGTGGCTCAAGTCAAGCTTTTCATCCACCAGTACTCCCAAGTCTTTTTCCATAAGGCTGCTGTTTAGCATGCCTTCTCCCAGACTGCATTGGTACCGGCAGTTGCCCTGGCTCAGGTGCAGGACCTTGCACTTGGCCTTGTTGAACCTCATGAGGTTCACATGGGCCCACCACTCCAGCTTGTCCATGTCCTTCTGGATGGCATCTCATCCCTCTGGCGTATGCATCGCACCACCCAGCTTGGTGTCATCCGCAAACTTGCTGAGGGTACAGTTGCAGCCCAGAAGGCCAATCGCATCCTGGGCTGCTTCAAAAGCAGTGTGGCCAGCTTATCGAGAGAGGTGATTCTTCCCCTCCACTCTGCCCTGGTGAGCACTCACCTGGTGTACTGCGTCCAGCTCTGGAGCCCTCAACACAAGATGGAAGTGGACCTGTTTGAGCATGTCCAGAGGTGGGCCACGAAAATGATCAGGGGGCTGGAGCACCTCCCCTATGAGGACAAGCTGAGAGAGTTGGGGTTGTTCAGCCTGGAGAAGTGAAGGCTCCGGGGTGGTACCTTATAGCAACCTTCCAATACCTGAAAGGGGCCTATAAAAGGGCAGGGGAAGAACTGTTTGCAAGGATTTGTAACGATTGGATGAGGGGTAATAGTTTTAAGCTAGAAAAGGGTAGATTTAGGTTGGACATTAGGAAAAAGTTCTTTAATGTGAGGGTGGTGGATGACTGGAACAGTTTTCCCAGAGAGTCAGTGGAAGCCCCATCCCTGGAGACATTCAAGGTCAGGCTTGATGGGGCTCTGAGCAACTTGACCTAGTTAGAGGTGTCCCTGTTTATTGTAGGGAGGTTGGACTAGTTGGCCTTTAAAGGTCCCTTCCAACCCAATACATTCTATGATTCTGTGATCTGAACACACAAAGATGACAAATTTTAAGTAGAGTTCAACACATCAGTTTGCAACTTAATATTCATAACAATCTCTGCCTCTCTTTTACATGTGAGCAATACTAATACACTGGGCATGTATGTACCGCCTATGACTGGGGAAGGTGAAATAAGAATCCTGTAGTCTTCCGGAAGTCATGTTCTGTATCAGGCTGTCTCTTGCTAAGTCAGGGTCCTCATGCCACCTTCTTTGTGATCTCTTATTTGTTCAGTTTGGCCTTTGGCTGGGTAATTAGGTTAGATCTTAGCAATTACTGATGTTATGTCAGCTAATGAATGTGACCCACAAATTACTGCCTCTGTTCTCAGGGCTACAAAGGTGGCAAAAAGCTTGTTTGCTTTCAACCAGCCTGATCTTTTCAGGAAAATTAATTCTTGACTTTTTTTAACTCGTGTAATTTGGTATCCACTGGCAGGTGTTAAAACCTCTAATTAATTCAATCAGGGACAGGTGGGGTAATTACATTTCTGTCACTATCTTCTTGAAAATTGCTACATTTAAAGTGGATTCAGGCATTTGCAAAATTGAGAACTTCAGTTTGAATATTGTGATGGTACAAGCAGCAGCAACTGACCTTGGAATAGTCAAATCCCAGACTTCGCAGAGAGTGTGGTGGTTCACTTTTACATAAAATTTAACTTGAGAATTTGTCTGTGTGAGATGTTGTACATGCAGTTAGTATAGAACATATGATATTCCACTCAGTTTTTGTGTCTAGGTATGTTCGTAACTGTCATTCACAGTGTAACAGAATTGAATGAGTAAACTACATAAACCCAGTTTCATCATAGTACTGAAGATCAATCTTTTGTCTGCAATTTAAATGTTCACAGTTATGGGCAAAGATTAGAGATGTGAATGTATAAACCACCTTTTTGGGGAAGCCTAATTATTTGCTCTTCTTGTTTGTGTAATTAAAATATATGAAACTGAGTTACAGACCTGGTTATCTCTCTTCACACAGATTTTGAAACTATTTTGGTGTTACATCCTGTTTTTAGTGTGGATGTAATTCATTCTGTCCCAAATGGAAATTAGATTTGTATGCTGTGTGGAATAGTTGAAATCCAAGGTAATGCTATGTCAACTAAATCTATTTTTAGTTTGCAGCACAATTAGTATTTTTATTGCAAAATACACTTCCATATTGCATTACCTGTGTGTATATCTTGTAAGAAATTGAGAGGATTTGGATGTTCTGAAAATTTAGAATTTTGCCGCACAATGTTCTAAAATATTTAAGAAATCTAAAGTTTGTGTTTAAAGCCCTGAGGGAAGTTAGATTTAGTTAAGGAAAGGGCTTGCATTTTAAATGTACAGCTCTGGCTGTCTGATTTTAATGCTAACAATGTATGGTTATGCTCAGGCATCAAAATATGGGGGTCACTTTATGCTGGGTCACTTTATTTTATATCCATCTATCTTATGTAAATAACTATATATCTGTAGAAATTGTAGCTAATTTTGATCTAAGCTAATTACACTAGAGTGTAGCTTGTAGTTGGTGAAGAGAACTAAGTACCTGTGCCAAAGGAAGATCTGTTCTGCAGAAGTGCTTCTGTGTGTCTGAGAATTATAAAGAATGATTTTGCAGTTTGGAGATGTCTGAGTCTGTGAGCTGAATCTTGCCAGTCCAACCAGGACTGTCTGTACTCTGCTTTTTATGCATTTTTGAAAATGTGCACTGGATATAGATCTTCCTTAGTTCTTTGATTTTCTTGACAGTAATTTCAGAAAAGTTATAGAAGTAATTTTCTTAATTTTATGGGGCATTTCTACATCTGCCTGTGAGTAGTGTATCTATCTGTCCTAGTCATACAGTACCCTAAAAATCTTAGCTAAGACACAAGAGATATGAGTAAAAGCCAAAAAAAGCCTTTACTCACTGATTTCCCAATTTAAATGGGATGAATCATGTTAATTGTATGCTGCTAGCTGGTTGGTTATGTTGCATTCTTCTTCCCTAAGAATGTGCCTGAAGTTGCCACAGAAGCATTTTTAACATAACATAACAAGCTGGCTAGAAAAATTTTTGGCATTTCTATAGCCCATATTATTAAACATCAAAACAGAGAGCCTTATCAGGGACAGAATGCTAAATATCATTTAAAATATCAGATTTATTTTTTTTATTGTCTGAGCCACGAATGCAGAGTGCCAGTAATAGTGTGCATTATTGTGTGAAGACAATTACATTTGTATGCCTTGTTTATGCAGCTATAAACAGTGTGCTGTAGTGAGAAGTATAAATATAGACTGTGCGCATTGTAATATACTTGCTAGTCTATATCCAGGGGATAAATGTGCTTTCAGTAATCAGGAAAAATATAAGGTCACCAACTGTTCAGAAAATATTTAGTACAAAGTCAACCACAACATTTTTTTCAATGGATTAGCTATGGAATTAGTATGAGTAAACATCTGAAATTTTTCACGTAGGCTATACATTCAGAGGATTTACCTTCTTTTTAGCTTATCAAGAATACAGTTTTTTGTTTGTATTTTTTTTCTTCAAACAGTGTGTAGGTCTGCGGGCTACAGTGCTTTCTGAAAGCTAACTGTAGAAATGCTGACAAGACAGAGAAATAAGTTAAACGGGAATTAATCTGTGACTAGTTTAACTGCAATTTTAGACCAGGAAACATTGCTTCATACCATAAAACATTGCTTCATTCCAGGAAAACTTGAAGACTGGTTTAGTACCTCTGTGGAAGGACACATCCTTCATCCATCTCTCCCCATCCCACAGCCCTGTTAACATGACAGCTCTCCCTGAACACTTTTTGCACAGATATTTTGGCACAATTGCTTCTCTTCATTAGTTTAGTTTACTCAGTATCAGCAGCTTTTCACTGAATTATGCTAAATCCCTGGGAGATAAATGATGGAATTGGGGTAATCTATTCCAACTTTAATTTTGTCTGTCATGTTATATGTATTGATTAGTGTTTAAAGGTATTTTTTCTTAATTCTGTCTTGCACTGGATTGCAGTAGATGATGCAGAGGTGTATTTTACGCAGTTCAGTATTATATGTACATCCAATAAATTAGGCTTTCTCATTTAAGGAGTCCTGCCTTATTGTGTAAGCAAAGTTGTCATTGTTCTAACAAATAATTGATAACTGGTAACATTAAGATATGCTAAAACTCTGAGCTCTCAAAAAGAACTTCTATAGGTACGTCAGTGATAACAGGAAAACTACAGAAAATGTTGGCCCTCTCTGCAAGGAAATGGGAGACCTGGTTACCCAGGATATGGAGAAAGCTGAGGTATTCAACGGCTTTTTTGCCTCAATCTGCACTGGCAAGTTCTCCAGCCACACCGCCTAAGTTACAGAAGGCAAAGGCAGGGACTGGGAGAATGAAGAACTGCCCACTGTAGGAGGTGATCAGGTTCGAGACCAACTAAGGAACCTGAAAGTGCACAAGTCCATGAGACCTGATGAGATGCATCCACAGGTTCTGAGGAAACTGGCTAAGCCACTATCCATCATATCTAAGAAGTCATGGCAGTCCAGCAAAGTTCCCACTAACTGGAAAAGGGGAAACATAACCTCCATTTTTAAAAAAAGGCGAAAAAGGAAGACCTGGGGAGCTACAGGCCAGTCAGTCTCACCTCTGTGCCCGGCAAGATCATGGAGTGGATCCGCCTGGAAACTATGCTAGGGCACATGGAAAATAAGGAGGTGATTGGTGGCAGCCAGCGTGGCTTCACTAAGGGCAAATGATTCCTTACAAATTTGGTGGCCTTCTACGATGGTGTTACAGCATTGGTGGTTAAGTGAAGAGCAACTGATGTCATCTGCCTGGACTTGGGCAAAGCATTTGATGCTGTCCTGCATGACATCCTTGTCTCTAAACTGGAGAGACATGGATTTGGTAGATGGACCACTTGGTGGATAAGGATTTGGCTAGATGGTCACATTCAAAAAGTCACGGTAAATGGCTTGATGTCTGAGTGGAGACCAGTGATGAGTGGTGTTCCTCAGGGGTTGACATTGGGATCGGTGCCATTTAACATCTTTGCTGGCAATGTGGACAGTGGGATTGAGTGCACCCTCAGCAAGTTTGCCGATGACACCAAGCTGTGTGGTGCAGTTGACACACTGGAGGGAAGGGGTGACATCCAGAGGGAACTTGACAGGCTTCAGAGGTGGGCCGATACAAACCTCATAAATTTCAACAAGGCCAAGTGCAAGGTCCTGCACCTGGGTTGGGGCAATCCCAAGCACAGATACAGGCTGGGCCATGAGTGGATCAAGAGCAGCCCTGCGGAGAAGGACTTGGGGGTGTTGGTGAATGAACAACTGAATAAGAGCCACCAGTGTGTGCTCGCAGCTCAGAAATCCAATCGGATCCTGGGCTGCATCAAGAGAAGTGTGCCCAGCTGGTCGAGGGAGGTGATTCTCCCCCTCTACTCTGCTCCGGTGAGACCCCACCTGCAGTACTGTGTCCCCAGATAAGAAAGACCTGGACCTGCTTGAGCAGGTCCAGAGGAGGGCCATGAAGATGATGATCAGGGGGCTGGAGCACCTCCCCTATGAGGACAGGCTGAGAGAGTTGGGGTTGTTCAGCCTGGAGAAGAGAAGGCTCCAGGGAGACCTTAGAGCAGCCTTCCAGTGCTTAAAGGGGGCCTACAGGGAAGATGGGGAGGGACTCTTTATCAGGGGGTGTAATGATAGGATGAGGGGTAACAGTTTCAAAATGAAAGGGGGCAGATTTAGATTTGATTGAGACACTGGAAGAGGTTGCCCAGAGAAGCTGGGGCTGCCCCCTCCCTGGCAGTGTTCAAGGCCAGGTTGGATGGGGATTTGAGTGACCTGGTCTAGTAGAAGGTGTCCCTGCCCATGGCAGGGGGGTTGGAACTAGTTGATCTTTAATGTCCCTTCCAACCCAAACCTTCTATGGTTCTGTGATTCTATGAAATAGTGACTTAGCCAGGTGGAGAATGAGGTTCACACTTAAGCAGAAACTGAAGTGCTACAATCAATAGTCATGTCTGAAAAAACAAAGTAATTTCTGTAATGTTGAAAGACATTAGAAATTTTGACTCAAAGCACCTCTTCACCTTTAAGAGTTGTGAAATTTTAAAACAGGATTTTTTTTAAAGAAAATAACCTTAAACAAAAATGTCAGCATTATGTTTGAAATGGCATTTCAGTCTTTTTTGTTGTTGTTAAAATACACATTTCAAAGTATGATTTATCTGTGTAAGAGACTTTTAAAATAATTTACTGTCCAAAGTTCATAATTAACAAGCTTTATAAAATTATTACCTTTTTTTTTACCAAAGAAGGATTATTTTAGTACATCTTTCACCAAAATATTATTTACATTAGGAGAAAAGGGGCAAGAGAAAGACCAAAATGGCTACTTAATTGTTTCAATAATATTTTGATTTCTTTTCTTATCTTTCTTCATCATTTTTAGCAGGTCTACATTGTAGTGTTACTTTCTTGATGTTTGGCAAGATATGATAAAGCTCATCTGCATTTGCTTTCAAGCAGCATGCAAAACCACACTATTAAATTATTTTCCTAGACTCCTATTTTGGGATTTTCTATTACATATGTATGTCTGCATTGTACTTAATAAAATCTGTTTGAATTAGGAAAGTTCTACATTTTTTCAAGTTATTAGTACTTTCCAATTAACATATTCCTGTCACACGTGGTGTTGCAATACTGGTAAAGTAACATTTTGAGAATGTATTTTAATTATTGATGAGTGTCTTTGGCTTTCAAATCTTAAAAAATTTGTGTAATACTAGAGCTATGACTAAAGGCAATGTTTTACACTTATTCAAATCTTTAATCTAGTTTTAAGCATGCTTTTGCTTAAAAAATGCATGCAATGTTAACAATTCTAACACATGAGAATTTAAATTTAATATATCATTGCTATTATAGTTGGTAAAGATATTGTTTCTCAAAAAATATTTTAGAGGAATGGATAAATTTGGTCTTCCATGCATTCTGTATGAATATGAATAATTTCCTTACTATCTTTCTGTTGTATACAATGCGGACCTCATTTTGACATCTCATGTTTATAATTACTGTACAGTCTCTCAAACTAACAGTCAGTTTAAACAGGGGGAGACTGTTAGTCATGGAGGAGTTGGAAATAAACACAAATTCAGTGCAAGTGTCTTCAAACACAGAGTATCTTAGAAGTGTTAATATATTATAGTAGTTTTCAGATTAAAAAGATCTTCTAATATTTACATAACTTACTATAAAACATTCTTTAAAAATAATTTTTAATGTGCTAATCTTTCACTATATGTTTATATGAGTTACTACCTGATAATAATAATAAAAAAATCTATGCTTCTTGCTAATATACTGTAAAAAGAGGGGAAAAACTTTCTTCAAGATTTCAGTGATCTAAGATTTATATGACCACCTATCATTTTTCAGTAAGATTCTTTCTTTGCTTCAACTTATTTGAGATTAACAATCGGACATTTCCCATGTTTAGGTTTACCTTGGATATTCACCTTTAATGTGAAGTTTTATCCCCCTGATCCTTCACAGTTGACTGAAGACATCACTAGGTATGCATAGTTCCTAACTTTAAACATAGAAATTACCATTAGTCTAATTTGAAGGCCATATAAAATTTCTTCTTCAGTTTCTGGATGCCGTAACAGGTTTGGCTATTACTGTAGAATACTATAGATGTTCTTACATCAACTGCTTTTTGGAACAAGGTTGAAAAGGCAAAGTGAAAACTTCAGGAAGAAACCTGAGAAAGAACAATTTAATGATAAGTGGGGATATGATTTGAGCGGGAGGTAAGATGTGAATGATCATATTTGAAAGAAGCCAGTGGTTTATTGTCAGGCTGCTGCTTTGTTATATAGCAAATGAGGGTGTGGGGGTATTGATATTAAGAGAAAAGCTTAAGGCATCCAAGGTACTTCAGTAATAATCCAGGCTAGGTTGGTGAAAACCTAGTTTTACACATATGCATTAAATAAAACCATAAACCATAACGAAACCTGAAAATAATTCTCTTCCAAAGTTCTTTGATAGGGAATACTTAGAATGCAGTGGATACTGAGCATCTAAAAAGTAGCACTGCCAGACTAACATAACCAGTGGGTAGAGTGCAGGGAATGGACACTAATTTTTTCAGTAGTTGTGGAAAGCCTAAACACTTAGTTTTGGTTTGGACTTAGCTGACTCTGCTGAGGCAGGTTGTATGTTACTACACATCATATCAGATCAGTCTTCTGCACAAAATGAGATAGCTACACAAGTGTGTAGCTGATATATTACTACAAATGGTTAAGACATCTAGTACGCAGTGTATTTAAAAGAAGCTCTCTGTGTTTTCTTTGAAAATTTTCAGTGAGATGTTTGGCTTTTCAATTGAGTGTTCAACTGAGAAAAGCATTTTTATGGTTATAACTTAAAGCTAAATTCTTTAAAATTTAAGCTTCGCTTGTAAAACTTTTTTTAAATTGTCATTAAAAATCTGTGCTAGGGTAGGATGTCTGCTGATTGTTGACTTGTTACCTTTCGTAGAAGACTGCATGCAGTATCTGAAATACTAAATTCTAATACATACATGGTTTAAGGAAGACAATTATGGGTTCAGTACTAAACCTGATTTCTTTTGTGTATTACAGAACTTGATTAGCTTGTGAACTGCAAGGGATATAAAACTGCAAAGGGAAATGTCAAAGGAAACGTGGGGGTTTATTTGTAAACCTTAGATACGTGCAGGCTACAATGTGAAATGAAGGAGTTCCTAAGTCAGCTTTTGATACAAACTAGATATAGTTTTTCATTCATTTATATTGAAAATTAGGATTTTTTTTCTGCTCTTCACATTATTTATGAAAGTTGACTCTTAAAATGGCGATAATGTTCAGATAATGGAAGGTGTAACAAATTATTAGTGCATTGACTTATTTTAAAATATGATTCTATGATTACATGTATCTCAAAACATTCTACCATATCTCTCATAAACTTGCTATTGGTAACAGTTTCTCTGTTCTTGTTTTTGTTTTTGTTTTGTTTTTGTTTGGTTGGTTTTTTTCCCCTTTCCTTTATCTTGCAGATATTTCTTGTGCCTACAGCTTCGTCAGGATATTGCTTCTGGTCGACTGCCATGTTCTTTTGTGACTCACGCCCTCCTTGGTTCATATACCCTGCAGGCTGAGCTGGGTGATCATGACCCAGAGGAGCACCGCAGTGACTATATCAGTGAATTCCAGTTTGCACCCAATCAAACTCAAGAAATGGAAGAGAAAGTAGCTGAGCTACACAAAACACACAGGTGTGTCAGATGCAGTGGGAGTAAACGAAATTTTATGTCATGCTTTGTCATGTTTCTGTCAATTTTCTTAAGAGTGTGTGTAAAACTGCTAAGCCAAAGTTATTGTTGCTTTGGAAATATTTTGCTATGTACCTAGAACCTCTTAATTTCCTGTGTTTAAAAATTTCAGTTTGAAAATAGTAGCTTCACTAAAATGTCAGAGAGAACTTTCGGAGAAAATATTTGTATCTGAGCATATGAATTAGTTTAAGCAACACACAGCTAGAATATTTTGAAAGAGTGAAAGTGGAAATCTCTACTAAAGGAATATATTATGCTCTGAAAGAACACTTTCCCTTTAGGGCAAAAATGCTATTGATACCTTACAAATGTAGGTTTTTCTGTGTGTCTGAATTCCAGGATTCCACTCAGTTTTGATTCTCAATTCTTTTGTCAATAAACTCAAGGCTTATTCGATGGTTTTAGGGGCTTGACTCCAGCACAGGCGGATTCGCAGTTCCTAGAAAACGCTAAGAGACTCTCCATGTATGGAGTGGATTTACATCATGCCAAGGTATTGGTGATTGGTTTGGTTTTGTTTTGTTTTAGGATAGACATGATTAGTATTAAAGAACATAGTATATATAGATTATTGAAAAAATTTCATACCCTCAATTCTTAGGTATAAGCCTTTTATCTCTTTGTCTTGATAATTGCTCAGCTTACAGCTCTAACATCCTTAGAATTTATTTTAAAACTAAGCTTATTTAATGCATAGAAGTAGGTGCAGCTTGGAAATATTATTTTATTCATAAGAGCATCTAAATAAATTTTAAATGTCAGATTTTTGATGCCAAGGAAATGTGGAGCCATAAAGTAAAGCCTAAAAGTACATGTAATTTTTTTTGTCATACCACAAGAGTTAAAAACAGAGCCAGGGGAGGTCTTGGGGGAGGGCGGTTTTTGGTGCTTTTTCCACTCCTCTGGGTAGGTCAAATAAAATTTGCCTTTCTAGTGGGATTTTTTTTTTTAGTTAAAAACCCAACAAACCAACCAACCCCCTCCCACTCCCTTGCACAAATCCAGAGTCTCAACTCGTTAGGAAAATTAATGCATTGTAAGCATATCAGTCCTATATTTAAAAAGGAAAACTGAGACTTTTAAGTAGTGGAGAAACATTGTTTATTTCCGTTTCATGTGGAAACAATGTGTGCCTGTTTTAGTAATTTTCCATAGACATTTCCCTGTGTTTTGTTAGAAGCACTTGAAAGAAATATACTTAAATTTTTATTCTCATACATTAACTATGTCTGTAACATTTATTAATTTTTTAATACAAGTGCAGCGTGGCAGTTCCCTTGGTCTGTAGTCTTTTAAGGAACTTAGATTTTTAGAGTTTTATTGGCGCTTTCTTTTGCTGTAGTGAAGTAACTGCAAGCATCATAACTGCTGTTTGCCAGGATCTGCTTGCAGCTATTAGTTATGCCAGTGAAGCAACTTTTGAATGACAATGTTGGCATTTGAGGTAGTTGATTTGTTGTTGGGGAAGTCATGAGATTTTGCTGTACTGTATAGTGGTACAGTGTATTGAAGACTTACCAGTAAGTGAAAAGTTTTGTAGCCTGTAGAACTTGCATCAAATGCTGTCAGAAGAACAGAGTGCTCAGAAACCTGACCCACCAGCACTTTGAAATCATTATGTTGACATTTTCAGCCAACTATCCATCACTTCCCATGTCTTTACTGGAATAGTAGGTGACTGTAAAAGATCACTATGATTACCAACTTGTTCAGACTTCACTGCCTGCTTTAAGTTGGAAAGGCTTGTTTTTAATTTTTTCTTCTTCTAGTATTTGTTGAAATTATTGAAAGCGTGCCCACCATACCTTTCATTGCTTGTAAGTTGTTGACTTAGTCCCTATTGCCAGAATATTGAAGAATTTCCCAGAACTGTGGCATATGCAATGGCATATGAGTGCCAAAGCCATTACTTAGAGTCCAAAGCCTTTCCCATAGAATTAATGTACTTGGCTATTTCTGCTTTAAGAATCTTATTGTCAGGGTCTTTCAGGTTTGAATATGAAACAAGTCCCAGTTGCATTATTCTCTCAAGGTATGCCAGCAATAATTACTTGTTTGGAATGTTATTAAACTGATTTTTACAAAATTGTCTCATACATGACAGGATTCTGAAGGTGTGGATATCATGCTGGGTGTGTGTGCTAATGGACTGCTCATTTACAAAGATAGACTCCGGATCAACCGCTTTGCTTGGCCAAAAATTCTGAAGATTTCCTATAAGCGAAGTAATTTCTACATCAAAGTCAGGCCAGCAGAAGTAAGTTTTGTTTCTTTTGTGAGATAATTTCTATCCAGAAACAAGAAAACATCCTCATTTTTTTCCCCAGATGTCCTCACAGGCTTATGTTGAATTCAGCTAGAACTTAAGAGTGTTTTATTTTCTTCTTCAGATTCTACTGATTGTGTTAAATGCTTGTCTGGATTACTAAATGCAACCAAGAAGAAAATTTTCTTTTGTTAATAGCTGCCATCTTATAATTTTACATTTTTTTACAGGCAAAGCTAGTTATATTGGCTGTGTTCTTACTGTCTATACAAACTTGCAGTCCTAGGAGAGAGCCAGCTTCTCTTCCTTTTCGGGTATAATTGTTCACGAAATGTCAGTGCATCTAGTTTATGGCTGTAACCGAAGGCTTGAGTTCTCTTGTAGGATGTTGTAACTCTTTCTGTTTGCTGCTGTGGAAATAGTGGATTCAACTTTCTTTTCAGATACCATCACTGTCATCAAGTGTGCTGATGACACAAAACTGGGAGGA